CATTGCTGGATATTGGCGTGACCATTTTTTTTTTAAATCGCGAAAAAATTAATGTGGATTTAATCAATGTTACGCCATGAGTCTAGAAGAATTCAAAATGTTGTTGGGAAACGGAAGTTTACCCTTGTTCCAAAGCAGTAGTAGGCGATTTCGAGCTTAAAATGCCGGAAATAACAGTTGACAAGTGTTTATTTATTGTAACCGTATCAGGCGACAGAAGACGCCGATAGTAGTAAAGGAAAGAATTCTATGGTGACGATTGTCGCCTGTAGTGTGGTAAAGGTTATGTAAGGATACTCCCGAGTTTTATCAGCAGTGTATGGAGCAATAGACAAAAAAAAAACAAAAAACGAGGTAATATAGAGAAAATACAGTATATGAACCAATAGACAAAAAAATAATCTATTGGGATAACTAGTGAGTTAATTTCAAATCCAGCAGACGTTAATGGCTTCGATACAAAAACAATATTTTTAGCTGTAGCCTTTGATAAGGGGATTTATTATCATTTCCTTAAAAGTACAAGTCACTTCCCTTACACACCGGTTTGTCTCTCACTCTGAGTTTAAATATTTGCCTTTGAGATGTTTACGTTAAAGTTTTAGTTTTGATGGTTTTATGCATTTAGGCAAACCTAAAACATTCCCATGCATAATACGCAAACCTTAAATATCCCCATGCATAATATGCAAACCTTAAAAATCACCATGCAGAGTACGGAAAATCTATATATTCCCGAGCATAATACGCAAACCTGAAACATCCCCATGCATAATACGCAAACCCCAAAACATCCCCATGCATAATACGCAAAACTTAAATATCCCCATGTATAATACGCAAACCTTAAAAATCACCATGCATAGTATGGAAACACTATATATTCCCAAGGATAATACGCAAACCTTAAACATCCCCATGCATAATGCGCAAACCTAAAACATCCACATGCATAATGCGCAAACCTAAAACATCCCCATGCATAATACGCAAACCTAAAATATCCCCATGCATAATATGAAAACCTTAAAATCACCATGAATAGTACGAAAACCTTATATATTCCCAAGCATAATACGCAAACCATAAACATCCCCATGCATAATACTCAAACCTAAAACATCCCCATGCATAATATGCAAACCTTAAATATCCCATGCATATATATATATATATATATATATATATATACACCACAATTTTTACATAAAAAAGCTATTCTGATCAAAGGATAAAACAATTCCCTATGACGTAAATGTCTAGAGATTGCATTGATCTACAGTAAATTTGTGCTCTTGCTTTTACAAATTTTCAATATTATTGGAAGATGATGGAAAGAAAAAAAAAGAATAAAGCCTATATATAAATAATAATAATAAAAAAAAACATCTAAAATTCGCAGCACTCTTCGTTCGTGCGCATGCGTAGTCGTAGCAAATTTAGTCTGATGAAGTCCTGAAGGATGAAACGCGTCACAGGTAAACTTTTTCCACATTGTCATACATTTTCCCCAATATTGCTCTTCATATATAAAATATCTATATCGTTATATATATATATATATATATATATATATATATATATATATATATTACATTCAAAGAAATAATCACGCATAGAATCAATCATAAATATTAATGCGATTATTGGCGACATCCATCGCTAGTAGTACAATGTATGCATTAAAATACTGTTAACACATAGAGTGAAGTGATCCTCGTCTATAAAATTGATGTCTGTTGTTTTCAGTTTATGTGTTCTTAAAATGCTAGTACTTACGAATAGTCTTCTATTCATCATCAGGCATGTGTTGTTTTTTTCCTTATAAAATCAAAAACTTGAAGACGAAATAATTGTTTGTCGACCGAAAGATGTTTTTTGAATATCTGCTATTATTGACGGTTGTGTACGATCTCGGAACGTGCAAAGATGTAACGCTAAGTTTTTCAAAATTTTAAGTGAGAATTTTATTTAAATATTTCTTGTGATGTGTTAAATGAGTAATTATTGAGTGACTATTAAGTGGAACTATCCAGTCGAATTAGTGTGAATTACTGTGCGTCGATGATTTCGGTTTTGATTTAGGATTTACCGGACGTTAAGCCGCGCTACTAACAAGGTATTCTCTGAAATTGTTAATTACCTTTAGTTGACTTTACTTCTTTGTTCTTGTTAAGTATTTATTTGTGGTTGTAATTAAATACTGTTTTATCTTAACACTGAAGTCTTGAGTTATACTTAATTAATAACGGCCACCGTACGTCCCAGACGTTCTGTTAAGGGGTTCTCCCCTTTTTACACAAACGGACTCACCCAGTATATACATATACTACGGCTATGTGAAGATTCGAGAGAGCAAGACCGAGGAGTCGAGTCGAGTCGAGTCCAGAGTGACAGAGTAAAAGGTTGTAGGTAACCGGAAGAGTGAGGGGTGAGGTAACAGCGTTGTTGGAGTCACAGTGAGCAAGCACGTAGACTCAGTAAGAAGTCATACAGCGATACTTCAATACCAAAGACTGTATATATATTTTGCTACTAACCCGTATTCCTGGAACTACTAACCTGCTTTACCAGTTTGTATTATTACGTTAATACATTATTTTCATATATTCATTCCTGGCGTTTTGTTATTTATTGGTACCGGATTTCAAACCGGAAGCCACAACACGTTCCCATATATGTTTTGACAAAATTGTTTTTTGTATCCTTCGTGTTTATATTGTAACATTCAATATTGTTAAACGGAAATTTAAAAAAAATAGTTATTCAGATTCGACCGACTGGAGAAATATTAGTTTAAATACTTTTAAAATCGTTTTCTACACTTTGTTAAACCTGCATAAAAATATCAAAGGAAAAAGGTATAATAAAAACTATTTATCACAAAAAAAAAAACAAAACAAAAAAAACAAAATGAGGGAAAGTTTATCATACATACTCGTAAGAAAACATTATGCCAAAAAGAAGATTTGTCTCTTGACGCCACTATTACTGTAAACCCTTGCGACAATTCTTATTGCTTGAAAAAGCTATTTTTAGAATTTTAACAAAAGCCATATATACAAAATTGGATTTATGCATTATTTTTTGTTTCCGAGATATGACAACAAAAATGTTAAACACTATTGTTCCGTTACCACCTGCATCGTTTTATTTCTCTTTGTTTGTCCCCCCCCCTTTTTTTTAGCTTAGTTACGTTTTAGATTAGTCACCGTTTTTACCACACGTGGTTAACCCTTGGTTGTCACTGAAATCGACACTCTAAAAGCTTGAACCCAAGCACGCAGTTAATACCTTTCTTATCCTCATAAATCTTACATCCAACGATAGCATCGCCGGTATGTAACCTTTGAATCATTTCCTCTCTACATGGGTCTCTTAATATATTATTTGAAGATTTCTTTAAGGTAGCCGACTTTGCATACATTTATTTTACGTTTGTATCTATCTGTGCAGAATCCTTTTCTCTGTTTACACACTGTTCCCAAATTGTGACTTCGTGTAAATTTCCTCCTTTCTGAGAACTTATACTGCAACATTGTAATGTATTCCTGTAGTAAACAACGTGCTACAGTCATTATCCATTAAGATCATCGGATTCACGTATGTTCATCTCTTGTCTTCTTTGTGACATATCTTCTCCCCCTGCTTTATTAGATTTCTATTTATTTCTTTTACTAGTTTTACCCTTTTGGCCTTTAAGAAACCTGCTAATGAACAGGACTTCGTCTTCAGAGTCTTAATTGCCTCAAGGCGTTTATCAGGCTGTCGAGTCACATACGCATGCGATACGGGCAAGTAATCTGGGATACGGAACAATTATTTACGTAATTAAATAATCTAATAAATAAATAGTATTTAATATTTTTGTTGTTAGTTCTGGAGAAAAGAGTCTAAATCTAGATGCTCGGCAATTATCTTAGTGAATTTCAAAAATAATTGAGAAAGGTATTATTTCAAAATTGTTAATTACAGTCACTCATGGATATGGATTTATCTAAATGTCCTTGATCATTAATGTATTAAATTTAAGGCAAATTTAAGCATTAAATTTAACATATTTATTATGATTTATTGAAGTTTATTAAATTTCAGTATTAAATTTAAGGCAAATTTAAGCATTAAATTTAACATATGTATTATGATTTATTGAAGTTTATTAAATTTCAGTATTAAATTTAAGGCAAATTTAAGCATTAAATTTAACATATTTAGTATGATTTATTGAAGTTTATTAAATTTCAGTATTAAATTTAAGGCAAATTTAAGTATTAAACTAAGGAGTATTAAATTCTTATTAAATTCTTAAGTATTAAATTTAATATATTTATGATTTATTGAAGTTTATTAAATTTCCGGATTAAATTTAAGGCAAATTGAAGAATGCAAATTTAAGTACTAAACTTTTAACTATTAAATTTTAAAATTCTATTTAAATTCTTATGTATTAAATTTAACGGATTTATTATGATTTATTAAAATTTATTAATTTCCAATGCCTAATGTAAGTATTAATATTTAAGTATTAAACACGTGAATATTAAATTCTTAAGTGTTAATTTTTAACATATTTATTATGATTTGCTGAAGTTTATTAAATTTCAGTATGAAATTTAAGTATTAAAATTTAAGTATTAAAATTTATGTATTAAATTAAATGGCTTTTCATAATTATTACTTTATAATATAGTGAATAATATATATTTTATGTTCGTTAACATATATCTATAAACTTATAAATATAAAATCATAGTGGTTAATACTTTTATTGGAAATAATGTTCTTTATTCATAAATTTATGAAAATGTCCCTGAACGAGAGTTTGTGTTGTGTTTTTTTTACGGTTTATCAACCCTTTGGGGGTCATTTAAAACAGAACCATATTTCGAATTGAAGGAATTGACTTATATACATGGTGTTCCCTATCCATCCACCCTATAAGTGCTGACCTTGCTCGGTGATGCTTAACTTCTTTTTTATCTCTCTTTAAACGTTTTCAGTCCTCTTTTTCTCCCTTTTCCGTTTTCATTCCTCTTTTCTTTCTCTTTACGTTTTCATTCCTCATTTCTTTCTCTTTACGTTTTCTTTCTCTTTACTTTTTCATTCCTTCCTTTTCATTTCTTCCACTTTTTCATTTTTTCATTTCCTTTTTTTCTTTTCATTTTTTACGTTTTCATTGCTATTTTCTTTCCCTTTGCGTTTTCATTCATGTTTATTTCTCTCTTAAGTTTTCATTCCTCTTTTCACACATTTTTTTTTCTCTCACATTACGTTTTCATTGAACTTTCCTTCATTTTGCCTTTTAATTCCTCTTTGTCTCTCTCTCTTTCTCTCTCTCTCTCACACTTTTACGTTTTTATTCCTCTTTTCTTTCCTTTTATGTTTTCATTCCTCTTTTCCTCACTTTTTCCTTTTCATTCCACTTTTCCTTCATTTTACGTTTAAATTCATCTTGTCCCCCCCCTTTTAGGTTTTCCTTCCTCGTCACCTTTCCGTTTTCATTCATGTTTTACTACTTTTTACCTTTTCATTCCTTTTTTTCTCACATTTCGTTTTCATTCCTCTTTTCCTTTGTTTTACGTTTTCTTTCCTTTTCCCCCATTTTACTTTTTCATTCATCTTTTCATCCATTTTACGTTTTCATTCCTCTTTCTCCTCCTTTTAGGTTTTCATTCCCCTTTTCTTCCCCTGTACATTTTCATTCCTATTTTCATTCCTTTTACGTTTTTTTTCATCTTTCCTCTCCTTACCTTTTCATTCCTCTTTTCCTCCTTTTACCTTTTCATTCCTCTTTTCTTCCTCTTCAGGTTTTAATTAGTTTCCTTTTTTTACATTTTTATTCCTCTTTTCTTCCCTTTTACGTTTTCATTCCTCTTTTCCTTTCCCATGACGCTTTCATTTCTCGTTTCCTTTCTTTCACATTTTCATTCTTCTTTCTATTCATTTTGGTCTTTTTCTTTTGCCTTTTTTTCATTTTAAGTTTTCATTCACCTTTTCCTTCAACTTACATTTTCATCCCTCTTTCTTTTTCAGTCAGATTTTAATTCAAATTTTTCTTCTTTTCATATTTTCCTAACCACTTCTCTTTTTTTTTTCTACATTTGCATTCCTTCTTCATTTTCCGTTATATTTTTATTCTGTGTTTCCTTTTTACATTTTTTCAATTAGTTGCACGATTCACACGGCCATCTAACAGGATCATAAACTGTTACTAAAGCAGTCTCTATTTCGCATATGCAGCGCCACCGAGTGAGAAAAAACGACAAGCAACCGCCATAAATCAAAAGCAAAGGAAAATAAAAACAAGGGGAGTTAATTCAGAAGGACGATGGAGCTGTTCGATTTCCCCAGTAGAAAAAGACTTCAACGAAATGTCCGGATTAATAAATAAAAAAATGATAAGAAAGAAAGAAAGAAAAAAACACAAATGTGTGGAAACGGTTAGGATTACGATTCTAGAACGAACACAATGAAGCCATGCCATGAGTAGAAACGTTTTAAATCATGGAATATTGTTAAAAAATGAAGCGACAGAAATGACAAGGGAGATAACTAGCTGTGAGTGGTTATTTCTGAAGCTGAAAATCAATATATCTCTCTGTATACGTGCGAAAATTCAACTGTCGACGGAACAGTTGACAGAAAACTCCGATCTTGATTAGGAAGCTGAAAGATGAATTTTAAAAAATGCGAGTGGTGTGGCGAACGGGCATATCACATTGAAACCTGTTATGGTAATTTGCTCACGCACGAATGGACTCTCCCAAATATAAATAGGAGCAGGTACTGCCTTTTGGGGAGATAAGTTTCCAGCAGTCAGCTCTGACAGTCAGACCGAACATTCTTGCTGTAACACTCTCGTTTGTATTACTGTTTCTGTTAATATATTTGTTTAACTCAATTCCTCTTTTTGTGTCTTTATTTCTGGCCCCTAACAAAGCCACAACAGATAGATAATGAAGACATCGAAGATAGATAGATATTTGTTGTAACATTTATGTAATAATGAAGAATGCAAAGATAGATAGATTATGAAGAATGGGATAGATAGATAAATAGATAGATAGTCTTATGGTAATATACCCACGCACGCATCGACTCTCCCAGCTATAAATAGGAGCAGGTACTGCCTTTTGGATAGGGAATTTTTCCAGCAGTCAGCTCTGACAGTAGCACTGAACATTCTTGCTGTAACACTCTCGTTTTTATATGTTTTTATTACTGTTTCTGTTAATATATTTGTTTAACTCAATTTTTCTCTTTGTGTCTTTATTTCAGGTCCTAACAAGGACATAACAAAACCCTGGCTCTCCTACGGTCATCAAAGTTAAGCAACGTCGAGCCTGGCCAGTACCTAGGTCGGTGACCACTTGTGAATACCAAGTGCTGTAAGCTTTGATGTACGAGGGGTCTGGCTGACGGCCATATTATGTTGAAACATCGAACCAATTGAATAGTGGACAATTCCGAATACAGTTGAAGAAAAAAACTTGAAGCAACAAAGTTGTAGTTCTGTTGGTTATTTTAGAAATCATTTCACCCCAAGCAAGACCACAAAGTCACTAACACGCAAGGTGTTACTGAGTGTGAAAGAATATAAGAAAAATTATTAATGAAAGAACCTAAATTAAGATGAGAGAAAATAACGATTGACATTTCATTTAAATTTTTGAAGATCAAACTTGAGTGGAAAGCAAGAAGCTGGAAGAGAGTTCCACAAGCAATAAGTGCGAGAAATGAAACTGTTATTATAGAACTTACGGTTACATCTAGCTATCTCAACTGTAAAATGATAAGACCTTGACGCCAAACTTGTCAGTCAATTAAGTGACATTATAACAAGGTAACTCGAAGATTATTTGTAGATGTCGTAGTTTTTTTAGATTTCAAGGCGACAATTTGAATGGAATGGATTGATGTGTGTTATTCTAGACACACGAGAACCAGTGTTAAAAATAATATGGTCCTTAGCCACACCACTCGCACATCCAAGCTTGCAGTACCTAGTATTCCAAATCGGTCACCCATCTAGGTACTGATGAAGCTCGACGTTGCTTAACTTCGATGACCGTAGAATAACCGGTGTTTCAATGTAATATGGTCGTTAGCCACACCACTCGCACATCCAAGCTTACAGTATCTGGTATTCCCATGCGGTCCCCCATGTAGGTACTGAACAAGTTCGACGTTGCTTAACTTCGATGACTGTAGGATAACCGGTGTTTCTACGTAATATGCCACCAAAGAAGGCTGGACCAATGTTAAGAAACGGCATTTATCTTCTATTCCCCGGCGTCATCAAAGCTTATAGCACCTGATATTTCCAAGTGGTCACCCATCTAGGTACTGAACAAGCTCGACGTTGCTTAACTTCGATGACTGTAAGATAATCGGCGTTTCTACGTAATATGCCACCAAAGAAGGCAGGACTAATGTTAAGAATCGGTGTTTATCTTCTATTCCACGGCGTCGTTTATAATGCAGTTCACTCTTTCATTGGGGGAAGTTAGCAAGAGTGAGTTCGGGCTTGGGAGCAAAACAACAACGCTCCTTCAGACGCAGATGTCTTTTAATGTTATCCTTATTTTTGGCATTGGTAAAGATAATGCTTCTTTCCATAAACTTGGTCGATTAAACGCGGCATTAAGCCAAAGGTGTCCAACTTTGGTAAACAGAAAAAAAAAAAAGTTGAAAGATCAAACGCTGCAAAATCAAAGCTATAAAAGGTGGGAGATTCTTTCACGTTCAATTTACTCACCACATTTCGCGCCTCTACGTTTTTTATTTAATTTGGTTCGTAAATCATTTCATAAGTGGCAAGTGGCACAATATTAAAGAAAAAAAAAACAACTTGAAAACTGTCTTTGAAAGTTTTTAGGGAAAGAAACAAACAAACGGATTTCTTTAAACGCGTAATCGAAAATTAGTCTTTCCATCGCGATATAGTTAATCAAAATGAAGATGGTTGCATTTTTGATTAATCTATATAATAAATACGAATGTCAGTGTGTCACACTTTTTCAACTTTACACCTAATGTCCGTAGCCCAACATAGCCTACCATTTTGGAATCAGGCCGACTCCGTGAGCAAATTAAAAAAAAAAATTCCGGCTGGGTCCGCAATCCTGAAATTTTGGATTCCCAATTTTCATTATTGATACATGTTTCATTAAATAATATAGACAAATTTTATCTATTTATTTTATGTAAATTCTTTTCATATCGTATGACAAGCTTAATAACATTATCATTAAAAGAAGAAAGAAAGTCACAATATTGAAACATATTTTTTTATTCCTATCTAAGCTTTCGGCTTACATAAGCCATTATCAAAGATGACAATTACTATCATTATTGTTTTGTCCGTGTATTGTTTAATATATTGTAATGTAATTGACATCTTTGATAATGGCTTATGTAAGCCGAAAGCTTAGATTGGATTAAAAAATATGGATCAATATTGTGAATTTCTTTCTTCGTTCAACGATAATGTTATTATGCTTATCAGACGTTATGAAAAAAATTTACATAAAATAAATAGACAACACTTGTCTATATTATTTAATGAAACATGCATCAATGAAAAAATGCTGCCTAAATATACACACACACACACACAAACAATATATATATATATATATATATATATATATATATTTGTTAAATTCAGTCGCCAAAGTCTATTTGTTTAATTTTCTGAGTGTACTTTTCCAATTTTCAAATAAGATATGCTAAACTGAAATAAAAAGAAGTGTATGTTTTGTGTGTTTCGTAGACAAGATTTTGTTTTGAAAATCAGAAGAAAAAAAAGCCAAATGTGTCAATCAGTGATGTGGGCTGTGGGGAAAATTGCACATGATTTGCTAAGACTGATTTCATTGTTTCTACTTCGGATTAAGAAAGAAAATCGTTCAGCTTATTGGACAAGTTGGAAATGAAGCGACAAGGAATATTTGTTTTAATTATTTCACCCCAAGCAAGGCATCAAAGCCACTAAGGTGCTGGGTTAGACAGTGTTGTGGTACGATTCACCTAATTTACATAATGGAGTACCGACCATATAAATATGGTTTGTACCGGGAAGACGGGAGGAGGAAGAAGAGATCCAATCCAGAGACTCTGCCCGACTGCGACTAATGTCAACCCATTCTACAGGAACGGTCTTCCCAAGAATATACCAAACTATCTGTAAATATTGTGTACACGTTCTTGTGTCAATACATTTTGTTTAAGTACATTTTGTGTTGTATTATTATTATTCCATGCTTTATTTTTAACAGACAGTGAGAGAGAATATGAGAAAAAGCTAACATTATTAAGGATTGAGGACAATAAAAGAACAGGGATTACAAAATAGATAACGATTGATATTGCATTTAAATCTTTGAAGATCATACCTGACTGAGAAGCAAGAAGTCGGAAGAGATTTCCACAAGCGTGAAGTGCGAGAAAAGAAACTGTTAACATGGAGATTATCGTTAAATCTCGCTATTTCAGTATTAAAATGATTAGAATTTGCCGCCAATCTAGTCAGTCAATTAATTACTTGGTCTCTATCGTTTCATGATTGAGTAGGAAGAAGGAGTTCCCGCAGTAGGTTGCCGTTTCTTCCTGTGGTAGACTGGTTGGTAACCAAGACTATAGGACCCATTCTGTAATGCTACTTGACGCTTAGATCGATTCATATCTTTCCCAAGGGTATTTGTGCGTAAGTGGATGTAACGAACTCGACTAGAATTCGAACTCGGCTCTCCGATTTCTCATCTCTTACACCACAACGCACATCCCCAATCTAGTACTTAAATTCCTTGAGCCCATTTACAAGAGAACAATTATAATGAAAGTATTTATCGAAAAGAAGCTAGATTTAGACAATCGGAAAGTGACTGAAGCCGAGATGTCAGTTCAGAACCACTGTTTAGGTCTAGTCAGCTAGTGAATGAAGAAAAAAAGGATTTTAGTTTTAAATAGCTTGACGATTTTACTAGACGCAAGAATTTCTCTAATAACTACACGATTGCTAAATCAGATTACAGATGGTTCTAGATTGGTAGACCCATCGTTACTACATTTTGAATCAATTTTCTGGCAAACATTGATAAGCATACCCGTAATGGGACGTAGTGCCAAAGGGACGGTTTTCACATGACACCGCTTTTATTTTAACAGCTTTCACTCCCTCGGAAATGTTTATTGTTTGAAAAATGACGATTAGAATTTTAATAAAGCCTACATATATGGCGAAAACGAAGAAATGATTTTTTTGGTTCTTGAGAATTTAAAACAAAAATATTAAATACTATTTACTTCTTAGACTGTTTATTTACATAACTTTATACATACAATTAAAATTAATTAAAATTAAATCAGTTAGTACGAATGCAATGCAATATTTATCATTTCCCAATTTATAAGGAAATGAATATGAAAGGAAAATTTTAATCCTAAATTTACAAACTGCGGAAAAATTGCCCTCATTTACTGGTGTAGCTGGAGTTCCTCCTCATTGATCGCCTTCTGATGAAGGGGGTGTTGTTTGGCTCTGTCCAATATGTAATGCCCGACAGCGTGATCAAGATAGGATTTGCTGTGATGGGTGTGACAGCTGGAGCCATCTTGAGTGTGTGGGGGTCGAATCTCCTCCCTAAAGAAAAAATTGTACTGTGCCGATTGTGCACCCTTGAGGCGCTGTCAGGGACAGATACAGTTTACTCCCCGAATAAAGAGGGCACATTATAACATAATAAATATATATATATATATATATATATATATATATATAAATATATATTAATATATATATATTTATGAGAAAAATAGATAGAGAGACGTGCTATATTTAAATATAAAAGATAAGATAGACGTTTAAATATAAAAGTGAACATAGACTTTATATATATATATATATATATATATATATATATATATATATATATATATATATATATATATATATATAAACAAACAAAACAATTGTTAATGACATTGTCTTTTGTTTTTTTTGTTCGCCAGAAGGTGTGGAAAAATTAACGGTTCAGTTGGGAGGAATAAGGTACTTACCTGGGTCATAGTTCTGGTCGACTAAGATATTTAGTCACCCCCCCCGAGGGCGTCATGCGGCACAAGGCCTTTTTAACGTGGGCATTCCCGAGCCATAAACGGGTTCCCGGCCAAAAAACCGATCAGTCGCTCATTTTCTGGAACCCGATATAAACGGGTTCTGGGCCGAGTTTATAAACCTGGGCCCCGAAGGAGACTCCGCCCTTCGGCGTAGCCTCCTTCGGGTTCCTCCCGCCCGTAGGAAGAGAGTTGAACCGATCAGTCGCTCAGAAATTTTCTGGACGACTAAGATATTTAGTCACCCCCACGAGGGCGTCATGCGGGCACAAGGCCTTTTTAACGGGTTCTGGCATTCCCGAGCCACTAGGCCCGGCCAAAAATAACCGCAGTCATTTGAACCCGTATAAACGGGGTTCAGGGCGGCAAGGCCTTTTAACCTCCCATTCCCGAAGGAGACTCCGCCCGTATCGGCGGGCCGTAGCCTCCTCCGCCCTTCGGCGTAGCCTCTTTCGGGTTCCTCTCGCCCGTAGGAAGAGAGTTGAACCGAGCAGTCGCTCAGAAATTTTCTGGACGACTAAGATATTTAGTCATCCCCCCCTGACGAGGGCGTCATGCGGCACAAGGCCCTTTTTTAACGTGGGCATTCCCGAGCCATTAGGCTCGGCCAAAAATAGCCCATTTGAACCCGTATAAACGGGTTCTGGGCCGAGCCCCACCTCCCCGAAGGAGACTCCGCCCTTCGGCGTAGCCTCCTTCGGGTTCCTCCCGCCCGTAGGAAGAGAGTTGAACCGAGCAGTCGCTCAGAAATTTTCTGGACGACTAAGATATTTAGTCACCCCCCACGAGGGCGTCATGCGGCACAAGGCCTTTTAACGTGGGCATTCCCGAGCCATTAGGCTCGGCCAAAAATAGCCCATTTGAACCCGTATAAACGGGTTCTGGGCCGAGCGACCTCCCGAAGGAGACTCCGCCCTTCGGCGTAGCCTCCTTCGGGTTCCTCCCCGCCCGTAGGAAGAGAGTTGAACCGAGCAGTCGCTCAGAAATTTTCTGGACGACTAAGATATTTAGTCACCCCCCACGAGGGCGTCATGCGGCACAAGGCCTTTTTAACGTGGGCATTCCCGAGCCATTAGGCTCGGCCAAAAAATAGCCCATTTGAACCCGTATAAACGGGTTCTGGGCCGAGTTTACCTCCCGAAGGAGACTCCGCCCTTCGGCGTAGCCTCCTTCGGGTTCCTCCCGCCCGTAGGAAGAGAGTTGAACCGAGCAGTCGCTCAGAAATTTTCTGGACGACTAAGATATTTAGTCACCCCCCACGAGGGCGTCATGCGGCACAAGGCCTTTTTAACGTGGGCATTCCCGAGCCACTAGGCCCGGCCAAAAATAGCCCATTTGAACCCGTATAAACGGGTTCTGAGCCGGTTTACCTCCCGAAGGAGACTCCGCCCTTCGGCGTAGCCTCCTTCGGGTTCCTCCCGCCCGTAGGAAGAGAGTTGAACCGAGCAGTCGCTCAGAAAATTTTCTGGACGACTAAGATATTTAGTCACCCCCCACGAGGGCGTCATGCGGCACAAGGCCTTTTTAACGTGGGCATTCCCGGAGCCATTAGGCCCGGCCAAAAATAGCCCATTTGAACCCGTATAAACGGGTTCAGGGCCGAGCTTAACCTCCCCGAAGGAGACTCCGCCCTTCGGCGTAGCCTCCTTCGGGTTCCTCCCGCCCGTAGGGAAGAGAGTTGAACCGAGCAGTCGCTCAGAAATTTTCTGGACGACTAAGATATTTAGTCACCCCCCACGAGGGCGTCATGCGGCACAAGGCCTTTTTAACGTGGGCATTCCCGAGCCATTAGGCCCGGCCAAAAATAGCCCATTTGAACCCGTATAAACGGGTTCTGGGCCGGCTTAACCTCCCCGAAGGAGACTCCGCCCTTCGGCGTAGCCTCCTTCGGGTTCCTCCCGCCCGTAGGAAGAGAGTTGAACCGAGCAGTCGCTCAGAAATTTTCTGGACGACTAAGATATTTAGTCACCCCCACGAGGGCGTCATGCGGCACAAGGCCTTTTTAACGTGGGCATTCCCGAGCCATTAGGCCCGGCCAAAAATAGCCCATTTGAACCCGTATAAACGGGTTCTGGGCCAATTTTACCTCCCCGAAGGAGACTCCGCCCTTCGGCGTAGCCTCCTTCGGGTTCCTCTCGCCCGTAGGAAGAGAGTTGAACCGAACAGTCGCTCAGAAATTTTCTGGACGACTAAGATATTTAGTCACCCCCCCACGAGGGCGTCATGCGGCATTCCCGAAGGCCTTTTTTTGAACACGTATAAACGTGTTCATTCCCGAGCCATTAGTAGCCTCCTTCGCCAAAAAAAGAGCCCATCGCTCAGAAATTTTCCGACTAAGATATTTAGTCACCCCCACGAGGGCGTATAAACGGGTTCCCGAGGGGCCAAAAATAGCCATTTGAACCCGTATAAACCCGAAGGAGACTCCGCCCTTCGGCGTAGCCTCCTTCGGGTTCCTCTCGCCCGTAGGAAGAGAGTTGAACCGAGCAGTCGCTCAGAAATTTTCTGGACGACTAACAGCTGTTAACTTCTTTTTACTAATTTTTATAGTTACAAGTTCTCGTGATTTGTTGTCACGTGATCCCGTACTGGTTCAGGGCCGGTTAGATAAAGGAAATATTTTCCTTTTTTTTACCCCTTTCTTATTCCTACGAGGAAGAGATCTAACGGAGAAGTCGCTCAGAAATTTTCGGACGACTAGATATTTTTTCGCAAGTTAATATAAGTACCTTTTGTTCATTTCCCCGTCCTTAGGCCCGGCACGGATTTTTTTTGAACCCTTGGTTTTCAGGGCCGGTTTCTCGATAAAAGATTTACGAAATTATTCAAATATGTAGAACCAACTGTTGAACCGAATTGCTCTAAATTTTTGGACGACTAACATTGTTAACTTCTTTTTGACATATTTTATAGTTACAACGTCTCGTGATTTGTTGTACGCTCCTGAAGTTTCAGAATGTCGAACTGAATCCATTTTTTCGCCACTGGGTAATACTACGAGATGATCAACGGAAAGATGGGGACAATAGATTTTTTCGAATTAATATAAATAGTTTTGTTCATTTCCTCTGTCTCACGGATATTTTTTGATTTGTTTAAAGACCGAAACGTTTGATAAATTTAAATATGGAACCAACTGTAGATGTGGACAATAGTCCGAATAATTGTTGAATAGTATTTATCACAACGTTTCGGCCGTTGTACGCTCCGGCCTTTTTCAGAATGTCGAACTGAATCCATTATTTCGCCGAAACGTTGTAATAAATATGGCAACAAAGATGAGAACAATAGTCCGAATAATGTAAATAGTGTTCATAATACCTCATATCAGAAATATAGACAGATACTTAAAGACCGAAACGTTGTGATAAACATGGCGACAGAGATGTGGACAATAGTCCGAATAATGTAAATAGTGTACATAATACCTCATCTCAGAAATATGGACAGATACTGAAAGGCCGAAACGTTGTAATAAATATGGCAACAAAGATGAGGACAATAGTCCGAATAATGTAAATAGTGTACATAATACCTCATCTCAGAAATATAGACAGATACTGAAAGGCCGAAACGTTGTAATAAATATGGCAACAAAGATGAGGACAATAGTCCGAATAATGTAAATAGTGTACATAATAACTCATCTCAGAAATATAGACAGATACTTAAAGACCGAAACATTGTGATAAACATGGCGACAGAGATGTGGACAATAGTCCGAATAATGTAAATAGTGTACGTTTATCCATGTTTGCCGATTTTCTTATCTTTAGTCGCTAAAGTTATTGAAGCTGATTTGTAATGTTAGAACAAAACGCTGGCAACTCAAGAGATGTCAAACGAGGCGCAGTGATAAGGTAATTCCGATTTCGTAATGTCTAAAAATATTGTCCGAGTTAAAGTGTTTTCCTCCATTAAGCGCTTAGCACATAAAAAAATGTTAGAACTGACGACGGCATGGCAGGTAATTTTTAAAAGCAGACCTTGAGAGACTATCAGCTAACCAAGTGGTAAAACATGTTCAATACTTAATTGAATTACTCTCTTCGTATACCATCAATTGTTGGGTTGAGATACTCAGCTTCTTCCGACAAGCATTTCTAAAATGGTTGCTTCATAAAAAACAGCTTCAAAGAATCAAAGAGAAGCATATATTCATGCATACATATAGCAATACAGCAACCAATATATATATATATATATATAGTTGTATATTTAGGCAGCAGTCCTTCATTTATGCATGTTTCATTAAAAGCGAAAGACAAGGTACTACGTTTAAGCTTTTTATTTAATTTTTCTTGTGTTCGAACAAGAGCTTTCTTTTCTGAACAAAGGGTGTGTAAAAACTGTGCAAATGTTTTGTAGTTCCGACCGCTTTCGGCTATATCTTTAGCCATTATCAAGGATGATTCAATTTTTCCGCTTAATTGAGTGTGTGCATTATGTGTATGTTTTAGTGTGTTGTAGAATGTTTTTAATTTCCGAATACGGTTAACACATTGTGGCCTTGTTCGTAGTTAATATTGTTAAGAGTTGGCTTTTTCTTTTTTATTATTAAAGCTTCCATTACTTTTAACCTTTTTTACACACACACACACACACACACACACACACACACACACACACATACATATATATATATATATATATATATATATATATATATATATATATATATATAACTAAGACTATCATGGAACAGATGTGGTTTTTATTTTTCTATTTAAGAAAATAAAAATATGAATAACTGCTCTTAAAAAAAGGATTTGAGTTAAAATTTAAAAATCTCTTGACCTGCCCAAACCTTGAGTTTATTAGAGAATTATTTAACATAGAGGAGAAAACAAGAACCCCACCCCGCCCAATAAAATATATATCATCATTGTCAGCCCCTTGACTTTTGTAATTGTAGGGGGGGATCCGAATGCAGAAGCCACATCCTTGGTAGACCCTTGTGGAGGAGGTTTTCTCCTCCACAAGGGTCTATCAACGGCAGCCATAAGCAGTTCTGGTAGAGTCAAGCGTGTCCATTGTTTAACATTGTCCAACCAGTTTTTACGTTGGCGCCCTCTCTTACGTCCACCTTCAATAATGCCTAGCATGATGGTCTTGCACAGCCTGTCGTGCTTTGAAATCTGTCCAAAGCATGCCATTTTTCTTCATTGACTGTGGCGAGAAGAGATTGCTGGAAGCCCCCAAAACATTCAACGCTTTTCCGCACAAAATCATTGGTTTTATATACCCAAATAGAAAATGCCAAGGGGTTTTCTCATGCATTTGTTCTCAAACGCTTGAATCCTTTTCTCTGTTTCTGCTAAACACACACATATATATATATATATATATATATATATATCCTTATATACAATTTATACTGTTTTAATGTTAATATGTCAACGTCGGACGTTTCGGTCTAATAAACTAAAATTTTGAGTATTTTGAATGAAAAATGAAAAGAATTCTATTTTGAACTAAAATTTATATATACGCTTGTCGAGCATTAATCTCGCTAGAAAATTTTAGGAATACGTTTTCACAGCGTCGCCCACGTGACGACAACGTGACCATGTTTTAAACGGAGCGCTGATCTTATAAAACTTTCAGTTCTTTGATTGGATAAGTCCTGTTCTTATGTACATCGTCTTTGTCATGTTGTATTGATAATGTTATAATTTATGAATATGTCCTGAAGATGGTTTATTAGACCGAAACGTCCGACGTTGACATATTAACATTAAAACAGTATAAATTGTATATAAGATTTTTTTGTTTTTTTTTTCCGTATATCTATATCCGACAGTATGAAGAAAATAAAAAAAAAAAAAATATATCCATAACTTGTTTAACAAAGAGCCCAATATCATATTCATATATAATAATTAACTATAAATATATATAACATATATATATCATAATCCATAGCCCAAGTTAGGAGTTTAAATACCTTACAAAAAAGATAACCCTTTATGAAGTCGTCAAAAAACAAGCAGAAAGTTTTCCTTTTTTATATGCAAATCCATTTCATAAATAAAATAAAATAAATAAATAAATAAATCCGTGCATTGAATAGACGAAGGTTAATACATCTTCCGTTTCATTTTTGACACCCCTTTCCCCCCGACTTCATCTTGAAAGTATCTCTATACGGACACTTATTATAAACACCCTACTCGCCTACCCAATTTAGACAATTCGCCCTAGCTGTTACCATGGGGATTTTGATTTCAATTTTTAAAACAAGTAAATTTCAGATATTCGTTATTCCAACAAAAATTTCGCTGAAGATGGAACAGACCCATTTTAATTTCAACTCAATTTAATTTAAATTATTTTGTAGTTTTCAGCTCTTGTTTTGAAACATAGACCTCTTATGTAATTTGGAATCATATTTTTAAATAGATAATTATATATATATATATATATATATATATATATATATATATATATATATATATATATATAGATGTATCCACTTCTAAGATTGTGTCACTGTGTTGTAGCAGAATATCTTCCTTGTAAGAATCCATCTTCACATTTAGAAATCTACCATTCGTCCGTGCATTGAATACTGCTGTCATATCTGGTCTGGTTCTCCTGCTATTCATCTTGAGATTCTTGACAAAATTTTTCTCTGCAATGTAATCCATCCTGACCCCATCTCGGCATCACACTTGCAGAACGAATGTTTCCCTTTGTCTTTTCTACAAATATTTTCATATATAACTATATTAATTTAAGTCTGCTATAAATTGGATCTAAACCCGACTGTTGAAATAGTTAAAATAACTGGAAAAACAGTTTAATTTCTCCTTCCCGCCTGTAGAATTTTCCGTCTTCTGTTTTTGAATCCCGTTCATCCTTTGTTTTTCCATCGTTCCCTTCCTCATTGCATACTAATTATTTTTGATGGGACAAAAATTATATATATATATATATATATATATATATATATATATATATATATAAATATATATATGATAACGTCAATACGTCGATATAGATCCGACATATTAAAAATATATCTGGAAAATCAAAATCTAAGAATTTTCATTCATCTGTTTTGGATAAGACTTGTTTTTATGTCCATATTTTCGTCGAGTTATACTATTATATATATATATTTTTAAATAATATTGTATATATATATATTAAACCGAAACGTCATAATATATAAAAAGAACAGTAAGATATATAATCTGGTGTTCTTATAGATATTTTATTTTTACAAAATAGTGCTCAATGTAAATTTACAGAGCATTTTTTGAAACATGGTTAGAACTGTGTAGCAAAATGAACATATTTTAAATCAATTAATCTATAATATATATATATATATATATATATATATATATATATATATATATATATATATATAAATTGAAGAGAGAAACCGTAGACGTTTTTGGTTATAATGTGGATTTTTTAAATATATATTATACTTTATTTTCCATATTTTTTCTACACGAGTTTCCGGTCTCGTGACCTTCATCAGGCAAAGAGAGGTTATTTCCATATATTATTAAAATGAATTAATTTTCCTTGTATTTTCCGATGTTTATCCATTGTCTTTTGTGAATAGTAGTAACCAAATTTTTTTTCTTGGTTTCAAAATCGGAAGCACGTGTAGCAAAAATATGGAAAATAAATGATAATATATATTTAAAACATCCAGATTATAACCAAAAAGTTTTGCGGCTTCTCTTTTCTCTTTAAAATATACACTTTTCTCTCGTTGGAACGACTATAACCTTTTCCTTATATATATATATATATATATATATATATATATATATATATATAAACTGAATATTTATTCATATATATATATATATATATATATATATTCATAAATACTTTCATAAAATAAAACATTATTATTTTTTTAATTTGAAACAATCTTTATATTTATTATATATATATATATATATATATATATATATATATAATAAATATTAAATAAATAAAACATTATTATTTTTTAATTTGAAAACATTTTCTATATATATATATATATATATATATATATATATATATATATATATATATATATATAAGTTTAAATTTAAATGTACATGAAAATTAACATTTTGCTATTTAATATATTTGGATGCAACCTATCTCTAATTTTCATATGTACAGTGTATATTTTTTCCACGGTTTTATTTTGCACAGTAGTCTCTGGAAGGTACAAAAAATTGAATATATATATATATATATATATATATATATATATATATATATATATATATATATATATATATATATATATATATATATATATATATATATATATATATATATATATATATATAATATACGCAGTACTTAGTGGAAAGTGCTCAATATCTGGGTTTCACGCAGAATGTACCTAGCAAATTTCACCTTTCTTAACAAAATTACTGCTCTTACAAACAAATATACACAACAGATTCATAAAATCAAAAGAAAATGGTTGAATACATCAACACAGATATAATGACAATATTTTCCACACGTGACAAATACTGACGTTATTTTCAGTTAAAAATATGAAAATAGCGTTTCTCTACATTTCAGTTGCTAGGTACATTCTTTTTTTGTTTTTATTAGTTACTTTGTTCATTTAATTTCATTTTCGTATTTTGCTTTGATAAAGTCCACATTGGACGAAACGCGTCAGCAGTTATCAGTTTTCCTATTGTCATTTTATTCATATAAGTATATATATATATATATATATATATATATATATATATATATATATATAATGTGGGTAAAAATAACAAAATCTTGTGTCTGAGTGACTATAAAGCCACTCAGACATAAGAGGTTACTTGTTGTGATAGAATATGAGTTTTTTTTTTAATAATATCATTCAACATGTGCAAGGCCGAAGAGCCACTTGAGGTAGCTTATGGGGGTATTTTGGGAAGATAACGGTTGAGCCTAGACTTGATCAGGTGAAGAATGTAGTGACCGGGGAAGCATCCTCTTGGGAGTCGGTTCCACAAAGTAGCGGTTCATGGGAAGATTTTGTCTCGTGGAACTTACATCTCACCAATGGAATACGAAGAGAATGGTGGTGGTTTGCTACAATGGGCGTGGCATGGTGGGTCTTAGGCGTGAAGCTTAGAACTGGTGGAACTAATGAATGTAGTTCGTCTGAACATTTTTCCATGGGAATATCGGTCGGCATTTAAGCTAACTCCTGTGGAAAGTTCTTGATTGAGACTTCATTGCAATAGTTAAAGAGAAGTAGATGCGATAGGCAACAATGAACTACAGAAAAACTTAAAATTGATCGCTGCATTTAAGAATTGTATTCATATCATTACCCCTTCTCTATTTCTCTTTCCTATACACTCTCTCTCCTTCACTTTCATTCGATCTTTCTCTCTCTCTCTTTTCATCACTCCCCATTCTCTCTTTCTCTCTCCTAAACTCTCTCTCTCCTTCATTTTTCCGTCTTTCTCTCTCTCTTCATCACGCCCCCTCCTCTCTTTCTCTCTCATATACTCTCTCTCTCCTTCACATTCTTTCCGTCTTTCTCTCTCTCTCTCTTTTCATCACTCCCCCTTCTCTCTTTCTCTCTCCTATACACTCTCTCTCCTTCACTTTCTTTCCATCTTCCTCTCTCTCCCTTTTCATCACTTCCCCTTCTCTCTTTCTCTCTCCTATACACACTCTCTCCCCCTTCACTTTCTTTCCACCTTCTTTCTCTCTCTGTCTTCATCACTTCCCCTTCTCTCTTTCTCTCTCCTATACACACTCTCTCTCTCCTTCACTTTCTTTCCGTCTTTCTCGCTCTCTCTTTTCATCACTCCCCTTCTCTCTTTCTCTCTCCTATACACACTCTCTCTCTCCTCCACTTTCTTTCCATCTTTCTCGCTCTCTCTTTTCATCAATCCCCACTCTCTCTATCTTTCTCCTATACACTCTCTCTCTCCTTCACGTTCTTTCTGTCTTTGTCTCTCTCTGTTTTCATCACTCCCCCTTCTCTCTTTCTCTCTCCTATACACACTCTCTCTCTCCGTCCTTTCTTTCCATCTTTCTCGCTCTCTTTTCATCAATCCCCACTCTCTATCTCTCTCCTATACTCTCTCTCTCTCCTTCACGTTCTTTCTGTCTTTGTCTCTCTCTGTTTTCATCACTCCCCCTTCTCTCTTTCTCTCTCCTATACACACTCTCTCTCTCCGTCACTTTCTTTCCATCTTCCTCTCTCTCTCTTTTCATCATTCCCCCTTCTCTCTTTATAAGTTCAACGATAATTCTTCGGTTGACACTCATTTTAAAGACAGTTTGATGTACGTAGGTCCTTACTTTTTGTACAAACAATTATTTTTATTTCATTGTGACTTTCGATGGATTTCATAATTAATTTCGATTATTCTCAAATTTATTTCCAAGTTATAAAAACTGTTATCGTACAAGAAAATTCGTCGCACACAATCACGTAAAAAAAAAAATCCCCCAAAATAATTGCTATACTGAAAACTTGTGAATCCAAAATTCCAGGATTGGGGGTCTTGATCCGCCCCGGAATATTTTTAATTACCTCACGGTACGATGGGTAAATTGTCGCCCTTTCATATTTTTAATTTAGCGCATGCGCGTTGTTTGTTTCTGATTTTGTCGACTGAACACTATAGTAGGGTCAGTTGGGCACCGTCTATGAGAAAAAGTACACCATGACGCAATTCACTCCGCTAGAAATTTAGAAACGACAGGCTTTACTGCTTGGCAATCGCGCCGGAAGATCCAATACGAACATTTAAGAGAGTTTGTGTGAGGACAGCGCTGAGGATTTGGAAAGAGTTGGATGAGTTTAATGGTGACTACGAAGGTGTTTGGAGTGATTACAAATGATGGCGATATCATGCCGCCAATCATCTTTCCCCAGGGCCTCGGAATCAACACGGAGGCCTACATCAAGTGCCTAGGGGAAGTAGCGCCGTCCTGAATCAAAAGGGTGATTGCTGGAAGACCCTATGTCTGGCAACAGGACTCTGCACCATGTCACGCATGCAGAAGAACCCAATCATGGCTGTCAGACAATATCTGCGACCAGATCGGCCCTTACATCTGGTCACCTAACTCTCCAGACTGCAAGTGGCTTGATCGTAATATATAGGGCGCAGTTGAGCGGGAGTCCAACAAAATTCCGTATAACACCAAAGACGAACTGAAGGGGAAGGATTATGGCAACATTCACCAATTTAAACAAGGAGATCGCTTATAAGAGATGCAAGAGATTCCGAGGTCGTCTGCAGGCCATGGTCTAAGCCAATGGCGGTTTTATCGAACAGATTTTCTATTTACTATTTCAAGATATTTTTCTGTAATTTTGGTAAATATATCTGTTAAAATGAGATGTCAGTGTTATTTTAATTTTGTGCAATTCAGACGAAAATGTATCCATCACATCCTGTATGCATGTGTGTGCGTATATATATATATATATATATATATATATATATATATATAATATATATATATATATATAACGAAATATAGTCGTCAGGTGTGCTATATTTATGGAATAAAGTGCTCAATATCAGAGATAGAGCGTGTGTAAATATAAAAGTGAACATAGAAGTCAACACTTAGAGGCGACAGTCTGGTGGCCTGACGATTGCATATAGCATGAAACAGACTGTGTTGACTTCTATGTCCACTTTATATATATATATATATATATATGACTAGTCATATCTCTCTATCTACCATGCTAGCTAGCTATCGATCGATTTATCTCCGAGTTCATATCTATCTATCTATCTATCTATCTATCTATCTATCTATCTATCTATCTATCTATCTAATGTTATCCATATCTATCTATCTATTGAATGTTATCCATATCTATCTATCTATCTATCTATCTATCTATCTATCTATCTATCTAATGTTATCCATATCTATCTATCTATTGAATGTTATCCATATCTATCTATCTATCTATCTATCTATCTATCTATCTATCTATCTATCTATCTATCTATCTATCTCATTCTATCGAATATTACCCATATCTATCTATCTATCTATCTATCTATCTATCTATCTATCTATCTATGTGTCGAATGTCATCCATATCTATCTATCTATCTATCTATCTATCTATCTATCTATCTATCTATGTCTAGTCATATCTATCTAAATTTCTACCCACTAACATTCATTCCCCTATCCGCATATTTTAGCCTTCGTCGGTTGCATAAACGTTTGTTAGTTTTTTTTTTATTGTCAGTGCTAAGGCGCGTTACATTCCCCAAACATAACGTCTGGCTATTGCTTACCGTTCTTAGAGGAAGATGTCGTTTATTGAACTGAACGCAAGCAGCCTGGAGTATATCGAAGCATGTAAAAAAGAAAAACAATGGCGAAGAGAAATTGAGATCGGAAAAGAAAAAGTCCATCATAAATAGAGAGAAAGAGAGAGAGAGAGAGAGAGAGAGAGAGAGTGTGTGTATAGGTGAGAGTGAGTATAGGAGAGAGAGAGAAGGGGGTGATTAAAAGAGGGAGATAGAGAAAAGGGGGGAGTGATGAAAAGCGAGAGAGTATAGGAGAGAGAGAGTGTGTATAGGAGAGAGATAGAGTGAAGGGGGAGTGATGAAAAGAGAGAAAGAGAAAGAGAAAGAGAAATACGGAAAGAAAGTGAAGGAGGGAGAGAGTGTATTGGAGAAAGAAAGAGAGAAGGGGGTGATGAAAAGAGAGAGAGAAAGATGGAAAGAAAGTGAAGGAGAAAGAGAGTGTATAGGAGAGAGTAAGAGAGAGTGGGGAGTGATGAAAAGAGAGAGATAAAGAAAGATGGAAAGAAAGTGGAGGAGAGAGAGTATAGGAGAGAGAAAGAGAGAGAAGGGGGAGTGATGAAAAGACAGAGAGAGAAAGATGGAAAGAAAGTGAAGGAGAGAGAGTACATAGGAGAGAGAAAGAGAGAGTGGGGAGTGATGAAAAGAGAGAGAGAAAGAAAGATGGAAAGAAAGTGAAGGAGAGAGAGTGTATAGGAGAGAGAAAGAGAGAGTGAGGAGTGATGAAAAGAGAGAGAGAGAAAGACGGAAAGAAAGTGAAGGAGAGAGAGAGTGTATAGGAGAGAGAAAGAGAGAGAGAGTGGGGAGTGATGAAAAGAGAGAGAGAAAGAAAGAGAAGGATAGGCGGTAGAGTGGGTGTTAGATATGCAACGAGTGTCATTTTAGGAGAAAGACTCTGGATACGGCGCGATGTGTTTATATGCGGGTAGATGGTAGGTGGGTGTTTAGTTGGGTGGGGCAGGAGCGGCAAAGATTAGCTAGGGAGTGGCGGCGGGATGGCTGGCGGAGATAAAATCATTATGGCAGAGTGAATCAGCTGTATAGTTGAGTGCGCGCGCAATACAGTCTAAGTGTTCTGTCGAGAAATCCAATTTCCGGTGAGACTTCCACACAAAGGGCGAAAAGAAAACCTTAAAAAAAAAAAGAAGGAAGAATAAGGCAACAGAATAGGGGATAGGCAGCAATGGGGCTGGGGGGAGGTGTTGTGTGTGTGGGGGGGTCGGAGGGGTGTGCAAGATTTGGGTGTTGGTTGTGTTAACAGGCATATAAACAATAAAATGAACGATAGCGTCGAAAATGGTGCGTGTGTGGTGAAGAGCAGGCAAGCTTTTTTGTGTGCGCATGCAGAGGGGGGTCTTTTTTTTATTTAATAAGATTCGATCAGGGAAGGAAGGTGGAATATGAACGGGAAAACAAATGGAAATATCCAATCGGATGAGTTATCCGATCAATTCTATCTATCATATTCTATCTATCTATCTATCTATCGATTGAAATTCTTTATTTCAACATGTATCATAATTTTTTTCCGCCTTTCTTTCTTTCGATCTATCCTTATTTTTCTTTCTTTTTCTTTCTTTCTTTCTTTCTTTCTTTCTTTCTTTCTTTCTTTCTTTCTCTTTCTCCAACATGTACTCTTTAAAAATGCTATCCTTACTTCAATCAGGTATTTCGTCTAATTTTTTTCCGTTTCTTTTCTTTCTCCAATCATTTCTTTCTTCCTTTCTTTCTTTCTTTCTTTTCTTTCTTTCTTTCTTTCTTTCTTTCTTTCTTTTCCAAAGAATTTCGTTTATCATTACTCTCCTTTTATCATAATCTCCTATTCTTTCTTTCTTTCTTTCTTTCTTTCTTTCTTTCTTTCTTTCTCTTTCAATCAGGTCATTTCTTTCTTATTTCTCCTTTCTTTCTTTCTTTCTTTCTTTAAAAGAATGCATTTATCATTATCAAATTTATTCTTTCTTTCTTTCTTTCTTTCTTTCTTTCTTTCTTTCTTTCTTTCTTTCTCCAATCAGAATTTCATTTATCCCTCCATATCAGTTTCTTTCTTTCTTCTTTCTTTTTCTTTCTTTCTTTCTTTAAAAGAATGCATTTATCAGTCCTTATTGTTTGTTTGTTTGTTTGTTTGTTTCTTTCTTTCTCCAATCAGGTTTTCGATATCTCCCTCGCTATCAATTTCTTTTCTTTTTTCTTTCCAATCAGGTATTTCGATATCTCCCTCCATATCAGTTTCTTTCTTTCTTTTTCTTTCTTTCTTTCTTTTTTTTTCTTTCTTTCTTTTCTTTCTTTAAAGAATGCATTTATCATTTAATCCTTATTCTTTCTTTCTTTCTTTCTTTCTTTTTCTTTCTTTCTTTCTTTCTTTTATCATTACTTTTTCTTTCTTTCTTTCTTTCTTTCTTTCTTTCTTTCTTTTTTCTCCAATTTTCTTTCTTTCTTTCTTTCTTTCCCCCTATAAAAAAACTTTCTTTCTTTCTTTCTTTCTTTCTTTCTTTCTTTCTTTCTCCAATCAGGTATTTCGATATCTCCCTCCATATCAGTTTCTTTCTTTCTTTCTTTCTTTCTTTCTTTCTTTCTTTCTTTCTTTCTTTCTTTCTTTAAAAGAATGCATTTATCATTACTCTCCTATAATCCTTATTCTTTCTTTCTTTCTTTCTTTCTTTGTTTCAAATCAGGTAATTTCATATCTTCCTCCATATCAGTTTCTTTTTCTTTCTTTCTTTCTTTTCTTTCTTTCTTTAAAAGAATGCATTTTATCATTACTCTCCTATAATATTCTTTCTTTTTCTTTCTTTCTTTCTTTCTTTCTTTTCTTTCTTTCTTTCTTTCTCCAATCAGGTATTTTTCGATATCTCCTCCTATAATCAGTTTTTTTCTTTCTTTCTTTCTTTCTTTCTTTCTTTCTTTCTTTAAAAGAATGCATTTATCAACAATTATTTATTTTTTCTTTCATTTCTCTTTCGATATTTTATTCAATATTAACTCAGTTCCTTTCTTTCTTTCTTTCTTTCTTTCTTTAAAAGAATGCATTTATCATTACTCTCCTATAATCCTTATTCTTTCTTTCTTTCTTTCTTTCTTTCTTTCTTTCTTTCTTTCTTTCTCCAATCAGAATATCTCCTCCATATCAGTTTCTTTCTTTCTTTCTTTCTTTCTTTCTTTCTTTCTTTCTTTCTTTCTTTCTTTAAAAATGTTTAATTTAATCCTTATTGTTTGTTTGTTTGTTTGTTTGTTTCTTTCTTTCTTTTTCCAATCAGGTTTTTCGATATCTCCCTCGCTATCAATTTCTTTCTTTCTTTCTTTCTTTCTTTCTTTCTTTCTTTCTTTCTTTCTCCCCCCCCAAAAAAAAAAACAGCCAGAAAATGAATGTTCAATACCTGCAGCCTAATAATAAGAAAAAAAAAAATGCGCAACAATTATTTATTTTTTGCTTCTTTATTCAATGGATATAAAATATTTTAATTTATTCAAAACTACAAGAGAAAAAATGGATCCCATCAATGGATATAAAAAATTTTTCAACCGCCCCCGAAAAACTATTTTTCTACATAGTCACCTTGTGGAATCTTCCACCTTAGCCTTCCACCCCTTTCGGAAAGATGTATTCTTCCCTAAAAAAAGCCTTAACCAATCACCACTTCGTTTCAGTAAATTCAATCTTCTATTGGTTAAGAAACACTAAACTGTAGCAAAGTCAGAACAGATTCTTTTTCCCGCCGAAGTTCCTTGGAGCCGATTTTTACACACCAGAGTCTATATAAACAACCGCATGACTCAATTCAACTCAGTCAGTCATTAAGTTTCAGTGAAAGGTGGGTGCATGAGGCGAGTTTGGTTCGTTTGAACGGGGCTAGCCTTGATTTTCTCTTTTAGGTCAACCTACGTCACATCGGGTTGGTTTCCTGTGGAGCCCTCCCCTTGGTTAGGTTAGACAAGCCTTTGTCTACCTAGTTAGTGTATGTTTTGTTCCTGGCCTGTCCCCGGCTGCATCTTTGGTTATGATCCAGGTTGAGATTCCCATCCTCCCCAGTTTGTTTTGGCACCCTTTTAATCTCGACTGGGTCAGCTTTTATATTTCCTATGTCCGTATATTTTTTCTCCTTTCACACTCCCTTAGCGAGAGAGCCTCTTGATTTTGTCCAAATGGGCAGAATACAGCGGCCTCTCATTTTTGAGGGTTGGACGGGCCCTACTAACATTAGTTATGTTGAGTTGCTTTTGTGTATCGTTTTAGTTTATTATTGGGTTCATCTCCCCCCCTTTCATTTTATTCATCCGTACATGCACATATATAATCATTATATCTTTATGGTATGGGGCGTGTTTTGTAGGTCCCCCCTTGAGAGGATGGTATTATGGTGTATGGAGGATTGGTTAGTGACGGACGAGTTCTTGTGGTGAATGTGTAAAGTATATTGAGTGAATGGGTCGTGAATCGGATTAGCTAGGTATAGGGTAGTTATTGAAGACCAACCTCAAACCCTCCCCTTTTTCGGCCTTGTGCCAGAATTGTATTTTTATATACAATAAATTTCGTCAGACATCAAGTTTCGTGAGATGCTACCAAACTCCACGCGTGTCAATTCACTGACTCAAAATCACTTCAAAATTCTAAACAAACTCAACACAGCACTCAATCGACCATTGTCCGCCTGGTAATCAAATTACAATTGACTTAAAAAGTGAACGTTTTCACTACACAAACAGTAATTGTACAATTCATCAATTTAGCCAAACAGTTAAAGGCAAACAACTCTTCACAACTTAAATTCTAACTAAGAATAACACACGCATAAACACTAATATTTGAACGAACACATTTGAGATTTTTCCTTGCAAAAACCAAATTATTTTAATTTCACTAACAAATCAAAACCATTAACTTTTATTGACCAAATTTCTGCATGAACATTCTTTATAACCTTGTCTCAATTGCCCCAATCAACAAACATTCTGTTATCCTTGCATGTATATTTATTGTATATATAAAAATCTCTTTATTGTTGGATCTCTAACCACTGTTTTTAGTAATTTCTTGCAATGCAAATTGTCCTTATATTCTTTATTTGATCGACGTGTTGTGGGATAATGCATAATAAGCACGCATAACATTTGCCTTTACATAAATTACCTTCTGATACATTTTCAGTCAAGCTACAACCCACAGCAATCTCAATGGTTATTCAGTTTTAAGCGTTCATAATTTCAGCTTCTTCGCGGTTGCTAGGTTTGTTGCTTATCACACATACCATTGCCATCACTGCAGAAACGTCGACATAGGCGCTTTGGTATTGGTTAAACGATAATAGTTTAGTGGATCATTATTACTGATTATTGCGAACGATCCTCACTTGGTGTGCCGTAATATATTCGACATTAAATAGTCTCCAAAGGCATCTTTCTCACCGACGGAAAATCTGTCGCTGCTCTGTCACTGTTTCCATGATTTTCGTGATAAGAGCCAGTTAGCCCTCTTACCTATGGTCTGATAAACATCCGACTGTTCCGAACCTCTGACGATAACGCATAGCCGGAGTGTATAATATCAGAACTCTTTGGATGGAATTACATTGTGCAAGAGACAGTCCAACAAAGGCGGAAAATATTCTAAGACATTGCTAGGCTTTTGTGCCGCCAGGTAATGCCAAGTGTCTTTCATGACAAAAAGCCGCTTATACTGAGCGTAGATATGAACAGGAAAGCGAGTCGGAATGCGAATGCAGTGACGTCCTCACAGCGCCCCGATCATATAACGCGAGAGGTGGAAATCCTCTTTTCTTTCATAATGACTAAAGTTCACCATTCTACTGGATATGTTGATACACTCCTGATTAAACGCCTGGGCGTAGAATTCTCCTTTAAAGTAAGGTGTTAAAATACTATTTGGCAAGGATTTTTAATACAACGTTCTTGGGGGCATATACTTAAATGATGTAATAGGATGTTATTAAAAATACTCCCCTTTGATTGAAACTTTGTACATTTTTTTCATATAGACGTATATTAGTGCAGTGTTTGAGGATCTGATGAGTTCACCTAATATCACTTATCTTTAGTTTATGTGTTTTTTGTTATATTTTAGTTTGTCTTGGGGTTCACCCCCCTCTGCCTCATTGCGTATCATCCACAGACTTTTATATAAAATTTTCTACTCATTAATTTTTATGTCATGAGGTGTTTTTTTTGTTCCCTGTGAGTGTGCCGTATTTTCGTATATGTAGGATTGAGTGATAGTGGCTGAGTTCTTGAGGCGGATGTGCAAATTTTAGTGAACGAATGGGTCGTGATTTTGATTTAGGTACGTATAAGAGAGTGTCAACTAGCCTCAACTCTTTCCCCACTTTTAGGCCTTGTGCCACAATTGTATTTCATATGCAATAAATATCGATTGTATTAGTGGAGTGACTTGTTTTACTGAGTATTAAATACTGCTGTCACAAATGATTCTGTCGAGTATAGTTTTGCGTCTTACGAGATCTCACATCACAACAGATCAGAATCCCACAGAATGATTAATAAAGACCAAAAAGGTGAGTTTTATCAATCTAATATCTTCCTCTTTATTAAAACTCCATCAGAGAATGAGGTATGTTGAAAAAGAAGAAGAAATTACGTATTTTTATATTTGTGTTGCATGACTTTCATTGATTAATCATGTTTCACGTGCATTGGACTTGTTTAGGGAACGTTAGTATAATGCGTCCTGAGTATGACGATAAACTACATCCGTGTCCTGGCTAAGACGATAAACTACATCCGACAGCAAGGCCTTTGATCATTTTTAAGGAGCGTGCAACTACCTCTTAATTGCTGGTATTCCTATGTCCACACTGACCTTGTTGCTAGCACCTGTTAGAGTCCTAGCGATGCGTAAATAGTTCACCCCCAAACTGGGGACCGAAACGTGTAAAAATAGGTTTAAATACCAGCAATAGATTTTTATACAATCTGATTACCAGCAATAAATGTTTGAAGAAAACATTATTATTAGCAATTCATTGTTACCAGCAATAATTTCTTGGATAAAAATTTTACCAGCAATACTTTTTGAAAAAATTCTTAACAGCAAAAAAAAAAAATAAATCTTGGCATTAAATAACCTATTGAGGTTGATATGCCGTAAAACAAAGCAAAACATACTCTCAGTATAAATTTTTAGCGTTTCGAATTCATGGTGTGACAACGTGTCCTTTGGAAGATACAGGAAATTAATAGATTTTATCAAGAATCTGTAGATATATAGTGACAGTAATATTCAATGCTTGGAAGACAATGGTAGACTTATAAATCTAGTTCATGTCCTAATGGGAATTGCAAAATGCCTATCACCAACCATAGCAACTCATCTCCCGAATCGGAACTAGGAACCACAGCTCACCTTTGGAAACGTGCGCCATTTTGGCATGTCAGTGTATGGAATTTGAAAATAGCACAGTTGTGAAATTGTTATTGACTTATCAGGATTGAAATTATTATCAAAATTTCCCAGTTCTCTTCTGGGAGAATCATTTCAATGTTAAATGTTGAATTGAATTCTACATATTATTCTCTTCGTATTACGCATATACTTAAATGATGTAATAGAATGCTATTAAAAATACTCCCCTTTGATTGAAACGTTGTACATTTTTCATATAGATGTATATGAGTTTTGATCAAATACAGATCAAATTTCGATGCCTGTTGTTGTAAAAGCCAGTTACCCTTCTTATTTAATGGCTGATCCACTCTTGATAAGTAGTCCTGGGTAATTGTCCAGGAGGAAGATGGTAATATTATTGCCGTAACTTATCTGTCGTGTTAAGTGTTGTATCTGTCAGGGTTTACCGAAGCCAAGCGGGGCAGAGGAAAAACAATTGATAAGGGAACAAACATTGCTTAGAGGTACAACGGATAGAAAGTTGTGGAGAGCCATGATCACCTACCTAACAAGCTTGTATAAATGAATGGCAAAGCAGGGATTGAGAGGAAAAGTAAGGGAGAAAACATTGTTTATAGCTAAAACGGATAGGAAGTTGTGGAGAGCCATGATCACCTACCTTATAAGCTTGTGTAAATGGATGGCAAAGTGTGGATGTTTTGCAAAACCCTACAATCTTAGCTACTTTAAATCAAGGGATAATCGTTACTTCTCTTACTAATTAATATCACTATTTCATTCAGTAACCCTCTAGCTTGAGTGGCTCTTGAACCTTGTATTGCATGAACGTCACAAAAAACGAAAATTTTGAGTTATCATAAAACCAACCAAGCAATCCACTGCCTAACTGTGCTTACATCTACTGTTTGGTCTCTGTAAACGTTTAGCAAGCGTCAATGTGTGTCAGTGAGTGCAATTTTTCCCGTGTGGAAAAATTCGGGGATACTCCTTCGTTTCGTGAGGCATTT